AAAAGAAAAGAAAAAATAAAAAACAACTCCAGCTTGGGGACAGCAGTGTTCTCTAGGACCCGTTTTGCACAATGAGAGGCGGGGCCGTTCCTCTGCAGGGCCAGCCGCTGCAGTCTGAGGCTCACTCCAAGCGCAACACTGACAGAAAGGTTGCACTCTCCCGGGCTCTGTTGGCAGACCACCTGCCGAGCACACACGGAGTCCTGGATTTGGGCCCCAGCACTGCGTAAAACTGAGTATAGTAGGATCAGCCTGCAACCCCAGCACTCAGGAGGTAGAGGCAGAAGAATCACAAGTTCAGGGTCATCCTCAGCTACACAGGAAAGTCTAGGGAGTTCAGGACCAGTCTGGGCAATGTGAGATCCTGTCTCAAAAGGGGGACAGGGGCCCTGGACACTCTGGCGTGCGCACCACACCACAGCAGCCAGGTGGCTGGGATGCGAAGTCTCATTCTTCCCATTCTGGGAGAACAGAGATGGAAAGAAACCTGCCAAGGTCAACAGGGACTGAATCACTAAGGTAGGATCCAAACCCGGAAGCCAAGATGCTTTCGATTTACAGTTCTGAAAATCGGGCAGGAGGCACAAAAACATGGGTGTCCTCTCGAATTGCAGGCTGGAGCACACCAAGGTATGGCTGTTTTACAGCAGGTCAGGCTCAACACAGAACCACTCTCTGCTACTCTGTGACACGAAATCCCACCCGTGGACACCTGCCATCAAGAAGCAGCAGCAGCCAGCCAGATAAAAACATCTGCATGGACATCCCCAGCTTCCCTGCTTACAACACAGCCCACAGGATCTACCCACACATTGAGCGTTATCAGCCACAAAAAGGGAAGGAGCACAGGCATGCTGAGACAGAGAGGAGTCACCCTGCTTGGGGGAGCTAAGACAGGAGGATTACAAGTTTGAAGCTAGCCTGAGCTACACAGTAAGATCCTGCCTCAAAGAAGAAAAAAAAAAGTGTGTGTGGGGAAACCCCACAAGAGTCACACAATACATAACCCCAGTCAGGTAATATTCCCTGACTCGGCAAAACTAGAAACAGAAAGTGGGACAGAGGCTGGCAGACCCGGGGCAGGGAGCGTGTGAGCTATTGCCTAATGGCTACAGTTTCTGCTTGAGGCCATAAAAAGGCTTGACAATCCTTGGTGGTCACAATTGCACAATGTCCTAGATATAATTAGTGCTAATAAACCTAGACTTGAAACAGTTAAAATGCTTGTGTTTGTGTGTGTGCATGCATGCACATGCAAGGATATGCACACATGTATGGAGGAATTTGGAAGACACAGGCCCTCGGCGCCATCCTTACAAACACCATCCACCCCCTTGGAAGTGGGTCTTTCAGCAGCCTGGAGTTTAGCAATCAGGCTAGTCACACTGGGCAGCGAGTCTGGGATTACAAATGTGTGCCACAGACCTGGTATTTTTATAATGGTTCTGATGAACCAAATTCAGGATTTTTTTTTTTTTTGGTTTTTCGAGACAGGGTTTCTCTGTGTAGCTTTGCGCCTTTCCTGGAGCTCACTTGGTAGCCCAGGCTGGCCTCGAACTCACAGAGATCCGCCTGGCTCTGCCTCCCGAGTGCTGGGATTAAAGGCGTGCGCCACCACCGCCCGGCTCAAATTCAGGATTTTGTGCTTGCAAGACAAGCATTTTACTGACTGAACCATCCCTTCAACCCATTTTCCTCCTCCATTTTTTTTTTTTTTTTTTTTTGAGACAGGGTTTCACTGTGTAGCTCTGGCTGCTCTAGAACTAATTATGTAGAGCAGGCTGGCCTCAAACTCACAGAGTTCTGACCATCTCTGCCTCCTGAGTGCTAGGATTAATGGCATATGCCACCATGCCCAGCCTTTAAAAAAATAATAAATGTGGGTTTTGTATGTATTTGCCACAGTTAAAAATAATGGATGCACTCAAACTACTGAGCCATGCACAAGGGAATCCTATGGTGTTAAACTACATCTCAATAAGATTAAAAACATTCCCCAACAGGTGGGATATGGCACATTTAAACGTTGAAGATGTGATTAATGTGCCAGAGAAAAACAACATCAAGCCATGTATGTTAAAGCATGTCTACCTTCTCAGCATCAGGAGACTAAGGCGAGAAGATCAAGAGTTCAAGGTCATGGGGTTGGAGGGATGGCTTGGCAGTTAAGAGCACTGGCTGCACTTGCAGAGGACCTGGGTTCTATTGCCAGCACCCACTTAGTGGTTCACAATTGTTTGTAACTCCAGCTCCAAGGGATCCAACACCCTCTTCTGGCCTCTTTGAGCACTGCATACATACATATATATACATATATATATATGTATATGTATATATATAGTGTATGCATACAGTGTACATATCTATACAAAGTCAAACACTCATACGCATAAAGCAAACAAAATAAACAAATCTTAAAAGAAAATTTAAGAGTTCAAGGTCAGTGTGTGTGACTTAGCAAGACCTTGTATGCAGAAACTATGTATCAAAGGGCTGCAGACTTGGCTCAATGGTCTTGTCTAGCCAATGCAAGGACTCTGAGATGGGGTGGCATTATTACACTAGCCCTACAGGAGAGGCTGCTGAGCGCTAATAAGGAGTAAGGACTGTAATTTACAGTAACAATTAGACAGACAGACACATCCATCTAAAGGACTCGGGCATCTCAGCACGAGGGGGAGTCATACCTACCCTGCTCACAGTGTCTTTGACGGCTGGGACAGGCAGGCGCGGCAGAGACGTCTGGAAGCTGTACAGCATGGGCTTTCGGCCTGAGAAGACCTTGACCATAGCCTGAAGATACAAGTTACATTTCAAAGGTGAGGCTGTGTTAGAGAGTCAAAGCCAGCGTTCACCTGCACGTGACCTGCTGACTGTCTGTGGTGACCTACAACATCAGGTTAAAAACTGGGCTGAACAAAAACCAGGTCCGACAGAGGCTTCAGGTGTGGCTGCCGACTGTCACCCCTGGCTGGAGCCCTGAAGCTGACAGCGCTCTGCAGGCGGCTGCCAGCCTTCTCCTAGAAGGTTCTTGGTGTGAGGCTGGTGCAGGCTCTGGATATAGGAAGTAAGGTCAGCTGAGGCGCCTAGTCCTCAAGCCACCCCCAGGGGTGGCAGTGTATCCCTGCTCATCGGGCCAAACAGCATGGAGAGTGAGCCACCTCCCACAGCCTCCACAAAGGCTGATACAGGCCAGGCATATAGAAGGCAGCTGGGCGGTGGTGGCGCATGCCTTTAATCCCAGCACTTGGAAGGCAGAGTCAGGCGGATCTCTGTGAGTTCGAGGCCAGTCTGGTCTACAGAGCGAGATCTAGGACAAGCGCCAAAACTACACAGAGAAACCCTGCCTAGAAAAACCAAAAAAAGAAAAAAGAAAGAAAAAAAGAAATAAAACTGAAGAAGAAGAAGAAGAAGAAGAAGAAGAAGAAGAAGAAGAAGAAGAAGAAGAAGA